GTTTCCCTATCCTTGATCCCTGTTCCATGGAGCCCCTTTGTCTCCCCACCTTCATCTTAGCTTCTCTCTCTGTGTGTATGTTTTTCCTTTTTAATTCTTCCGGCAAAAACTTAAAAGGTACTTCTCAGTTGTCAAGGCAAACAAAAGCAAGCTCGAACAAAGATATGCTGGATGGTTTTTAGAGCAAAGCAAAAATCATAATGTCTTTAGAAAATGTAGTGAATCTAAAAGCTCAAAGACTTTTCTCTCAGTCAATGACTCAAAACATTTCTGTCAGTGAATAACAGGATGATGATATGTTGCCCATTCTGGCTTCCCACCTCCTTCAACCACATTTCTAAAAATATAACATCAAAGTGAGATCTGATGTGTTAAAGGGGAGTGAGTAGAGGAAAGGGAAGGAATTTCTGAAAACCTGTGAGTAGTGGGATCCCTGTGGCAACATCTGTTTTTGTGCTGGATGTGTTAAACTTTACAATAAGCCATTTCTGTTGATATTGCAGCAGGTAAATATTTATTACCAGGGTGGCCAACCTGTACCTCAGAAGCTGCGCATGCAAAGGCAGGTTCTGTGTCAGGGTTACTTCAAAGGGAATGATAGATCCATACTGGGTAATTCAAATTCCTAAAAGGGAGATGAAATTACTTGTAAGGACCTGCCAAAGTCAGTAATGCTGGGTGGCTTTGCCACTTACATGCATGTCCAGCTAAATCTCATCTAGATTACACAAGCAGGAACCCTGAAGGGGTCTTTTTGCCTTCTGCCTATGAACCACTCCTAGAACAATCCCTGACCCACACATGTAATATGTGTCTTTGGCCAAAGATGATTTAGAAATGTGGTTCACAGGCCAAAGAAGGCTGATCTGTCTTGTGTCCTAAACACTGGCTGTCCAATTATTTTCAAAATAAATAGAGAAAACCTGATAAATGCATCCTAAACCTGATGAATATGTCCTAAACAGAGTGTCCTAAACTCTGGCTGTCCAATTATTTTCAAAAAAATAGAGAAAACCTGATAAATGTGTGACCAGTGGAACTCATGAAACTTGTTTTATTCTGACTTTGCGATCTGATTCTGTAGTGCCTAAACAGCTTAAGTTCTTGCTTACACAAGGCTAAGTTATTCATAACATTACTTTTAAGTTTGGATTTCGTTCCTGCTGAAAGGAAAAAGTCATCATCTAAATAGATTAAAAGTTCAACACATCTCTTCATTTTGGTCCAGTATCTTTTCCCTCAAAATGTAACTTTATTGCTTTTGAGACCCTGAAATTAGACAACTGATTCAAAGTTATTTTTTCATATATACACAGGCAATGTAGGTCTTGTTTCCCCAAGAACATGAATGTTAAGAGGCCAAGTTTAAGTAAGCAATTTTATTTGTGCATTGGAAGGCAGGATTTACACATGTAAAGTAAATATAGGAGTCATTAAAACTGTCCTTGATTCTACAACATACTCCTGGTCTTCATGAAGATTTGACTGATCTTGCTAAGCCTGCCTGGCCCTGGATAAGAGTTTCAAACTAAATAAAATATTTTTACAGCAGCTCACTGCTGGCTCCACTATAGTGAAGTCTCCATCTTTCTGCCCATCTTTCTTCTCTAGAACTTCTGTTTGTAAAGGCAGAAGCTTTTTTCCTAAGTGGGTTCAGTGTTAAGCTCTGAAATAAGGGTACTTAACCCAGTTTCCAGTGGTAGTGGAGTTCTTGTGTTCTGTTCAGTTAGGAAATTCCAGCTATCTCCTCTGTGGTCCTCTCGTCCTTCTGTTTTGGAATAGAAGGTTCCCAAGCTGTTAAAGTTAGATCCCAGTTTGAATTTCTCCAGTGTTTAGAGAAGCTTGGATCAGCAACTCCTATAGAAAACAGTCCAGAGCTCAACTCTAAAGATGATTCTCTTTGAACAAACTCACAAATGGCTGGAACCACTTCCCACTCCAAGCCTTTTATTCATCTCACCCAAGCAGTTAATGCCAGATGTGACTGCCTAGACAATTTTAATCTCTTCTGGTGTATGGGCAGAGGTTTCAGGTGGGCACACCTCTATTTCTTGTTAAAGATTCTGGTTGTTCCTTTCTTGTTGTGAACTCATAAACCCTCTCCCTGAGATAACTTCATATTTTAGCACTATGGCAGGAATCCCTCCTTGTGAGCTTTCCAGCAGCTGTTCCATAGCTTGAGCATAAAGTCACCATTTCCCCTCAGGCTCTGCTGCTGTTTCTGGGTGGAGGAGGGGTGGAGATGCTGTTCTAGCACACAGTGGGAAAAGGGAGCTGGGGAGGTTTGAAGAAAGCTGGAGAAGCAGCTGCTGTTGCTACAAGGGAAAGAACTGCAAAACACTGTCCTTTTCATTCCTTCCCCCGCATATCCAGCCTGCAGTGAGAAGAATGGCAAGCGAGCAGAATAAGCATATGCTGCTGTACCCCAGGTCCTGCAAGGAGTTAGAGGGCCTTTAAATCCAGAAACAGAACTTGACCCTTTCTTTAAGGTTTCAGACAGATTCTTCAATCCCATCTGTTGTGGTTGAAACTAAGGTGAAAGGAATCAATGCTGAATCCTTTGTCTGAGGAAGATTTAAAAATGTTTGTTCATGCTCAGTAATCAAATACAGGATCTTTTTTCCAGTGGGGAATTTCACAGGATACAGACGGTCCTGTTCTTCCTTCTGCTGATCCTTCCTGGAATCTCTTGACCAGTTTAATAGGTCTGGATGGTTTAAACATTTTAATGCTAAATTTGGGACATATGATAGCAATTTCCATGCAAGTGCAATGACACAAAATCACAAACAAGCACCAGACTGTAACCTCTCACTGTTTTGGTGTACAGGGTAGCCCCATACATTGGTTCTGATTTTAGTTAGTCTCCTCAGAGAATCTTTTTCTGCTGCCTGGCTAAAAACATCCAAGATTCTACCTGCCTGGGGAATGGGAGCCCCACTAGCCCTGGTAACCTGCTCCTCTAGCCTCTTCTCCAGGAGCCTCATGTGGTTTGGTCCCAGATCCCTGTCTGCCTCTTGGCTCAGATGGTAGAAAGAGCTGAGCAGACAGTTCATTAGCAACAGAACAAGGATTTGATTTTCAAAGCTGTATCTGAGGACCTTAGAGGTGGCTGGAAATGGAATATGAGAGAGAGGAGTGCTGGGGAAAAGATGACTTTTTTTCCTCTTGGTAGTAGAAATAGGAGCTGATCTCAAATATTTACCTCTGATGGCAACACCATTCAAGGAAGATGTTGCTTTCACAGTGCCTTTTCCTAGTGCTGTGGGCACATTATAAGGTCATTCAGAGGAACTTTGCAGTTTGTGTACACAGGTCTTTTAGCAAAAGGGTCTCTTCTTGCCTGTGCTTCCCCTGAGAAAGGGTAGGATGCTTGGTAGGGTTGTGACATGGATCCAGCCTGACGTGGTCATTGGCCTCTACAGCAGAGAGAGCATTCTCCATGTCTTCTGGAAGGTATCCCCAGGTTGTTTCTTCCTTTATTTGAATAGGAAGAGTAGTAGTAGTGCCTGTGGGGGATGGAGGATACACAGTCTTCCCTCAGTTTCCTAAGAATGACTAAACCAAAATTAATTATAATATTTTCATATAAAAAGCTCCTATATCTTCATTTTCTTATCAATCTTATGACTAATGCTCAGTAATTAGAGAGAGAAATTTATCAGTGCTTGTTTTCCCAATTCCATTTTCCCTGCTCATTACTATTTTGCACACCAACTTTGGTACAACTGAATTTTTTTAGTGGCTTTTACATCTGAAAGAGAAAGTATTTAGGAGGAAGCTTTTTATTCTCAGAGTGGTGAATGTTGGGAGTGTTAAAATCCATGGTATATACAGACTTAGAAAGTTGTAATAAAATCTGTTCATTGAGGCCTAAGATGATAAGAAGAATGGCTGCTCATAGTAACCTGAAATACTCAAATACCAGATCACCCGAGTTTCATTTTGGGTATTTCTTGGTTCTGATGTCATATCCTCATGCAAAAATGATTTTATATCAGCATTATCATTGTTAATAGTGATACATATCTGTATTTTATCTGGATTTAATAGGCCAGGCCAAAGGAGATATATATGAAGTTTTAATATTAAAACAGATATTGTTACAAGGACTCATTAAATAAACATTCATTCCTTGATGCTTTTGTGTACTGTGAAAGGAAAATTTATCCTTCTACCTTTCCTTTTCCAAGTTAGAAAGGAGCCCAAACTAGATAAACTGTGCTAGGAATATCTAGTCTGTCTTTTTTTTTTTCCCTGGGTTTAACTGGTCACAAGTGGTGATGAGAAAGATTTAGTCTGTAGTGGCTGAAGTGTCCCTGTGACAGCTGAGAGCTTTGCTGACAGACAGGTGTGGACTGCAACTCAAAAGAGGAAGAATTAAGTAGCAACAGGGAATATACCAACAAAGTATTGTAGTCCCAAATGTGGATAACCCCCCAAATTTAGGAGCTGTTTTATGCTGCCATACCAGCCTACATGACCTGATCTCTCTTCTAGCTCTGCAGAGGGGATGTAACTGCTCATGGCAGAATCTAGCTATAGCTGTCCATGATGAATTATTGGATTTTAAACAAGCACAACCACACAAGATGAATGGAGGGTACGGAAATGTTAACTGTGGAATTTTTTACCTTGGGTTGGTTGAAGTCATTGCAATCCTCAAGTGTTTTATCAGGTGTATACGTAAAGGGGTGGGAGGGCAGACATGCAACAGCATGCACCTTCCACTGTGCCTGGGGATGGTGCTCTCATAATACCAGAGGAAAGTTCAGGGAAATATGTACTCTCAGTAATTATATCCTGGCTTTCTCTGCAGGGTAATTTCAATCTTTGCAGATGCCTTCATCTATCTAGGGAGTTTAGTGGTAAAACTGCCTTTCTTCTCTTCCCTTAATTTTACTTTCACCTCCATTTTTACTTCATGGTATTGTACTTTTGCACCAAACAAACAGCAAAGAAGCAAGCAATCCTGATGAGTAATTTTTCTGTTCCCACAGGCAGAGATGAAAAACCTATTCTTTCTGCTCATGCTAACAACGATGTCACCTTCTGCATTTTCAGTAAGTAAATGCTCTTCTGAGCACTGTTACAAGAAATGAAAGATACTTCTGTTAAGAACTGTCAACATCTGTAACTCAAGTGCTTTGTAGAAAGTATTTCTGAAAGAGCTAATAGGTTCAAGTCATCAGAACTATTGTGGCACATCTTATGAGAAGTCTAACATGGCAATTAAATAATGGAATTCTGCTAGTGCCTTTGGTTCTAGGGATGTTATCTGCAAAGCAGTAATTGCTGTCTCCTGCTTCAAAGCTAGAGAGAGAATTATCACTTGAAATAAAGAGATTATGGATTTTTGGTTAGTTCATTATTCTCTTTTCTTTGGTCTTAGAAGTATTAGCCATGTGGTTTAGCTTTGCTGGGAGAGGTTACTTTATGTTAAGCCAGTGTGATATTATCACAAAAAAGAATGCAGCAATTATGAACTGGGATTCCTGTTCCTTTCTGAATGAGAAGCAGGACCTTTCTGAAGTAAATGCAGCTTGAAAACAGTTTCCCTGACTTGAAGTTAAACTTTATTAGTGAGTTGGTCATCTAAGGTAAAAGATGACCTGCAGAGTAGAGTGGAAGTATTAACAAAGGAAGATATTACATGTTTGTTAGGTGTAAAGGAAAAGAGAGAGGGGGGCAAAAAAAGGCAATTATCACTAGGAGTAAGTGTTTTGCTTTCTAGGCCACCTTTGAAGATCAGGAATGAGAGACCAGAAATCAAGCAGTTTGTTAGTTGTCATATTTTCTCTTACAGATGGAAATATGCTTAAATGAGTGCCTGCTGTCTCACATCTAATAAAAAAACCATACTGTATGTAAAAATAACCAGAAAATGAATATATTCTATTCAGTTCATCTGTTCACCTGCCAAATTCAAATTTGGAGATATTGGTGATTTTTTTTTTTTGGAAGGGATATGACTGAAATACCCTGAGACTGTGAAGACTGATATTTCTCTGTAGCATTAGACTCTACCCCCTGCATGCAACCAATAGTTTCTCTTGAAGCCATGCTAAATGAAAGGAGAAGTTTTGCTTGGAAACCCCTTAAGTTCAGTATTGTCCGTTTCCCTGACATACTGGATCTGTCCAAGTCATACATTTCCTCTGAACACTGTTTCTTTATATGGATCTGCTTTTCTAGGTTGAAATGCTGGGTTTTAATTTATTCTGAGCAACTCAACATTGTTGCTGTTTAAAGTGGTTATCTATTGAATAGACATTTAGATGTCTTACCCAGCTTTAACAAAGTGCAGAAGGTGCACAAGGACATAAAACTTAAGGTCATACAGAAACAGTAAAAATTACTGTGAGGACAGAGAAAGAGGAGATTTTACTGTTATTCTTATGGAGGGAAAGGGAGAAAACATGCACAAGAAGAATTTTACCAGGTAGAACCAGTTTGTTTTGCCCTATAATCTGTCTACAGCTATGTCACAAACATGTGTCTAGAAAAAAATATTAAAAGATAGGCAAATATAATTTCTCCCAATACACTTCCAGTTTATGAGCCCTTTGAGCTTGAGAAATCTGTCTTTCTTCCCTGAATTTGATCAATGCCTCCTTGAAGCCATAATACCAAGATCCTGCTCTTGAGATCTAAATATCAACTATCATGTACTGATTTATTAATATTAATTAATAATTAATAAATAGTAGCAATTTGGGATAGGATTTGTGTTTCCCCTGTGTGTCACTTAAGTTGCCTACATTAAATCTCCACTGTCATTTTAGTGATAAATTGCTAATACTATAATGCTTTCCCATAGTTCTTTGCAGTATGTCTCTGGTTTTCTGTTGTCCTTTATTACCCTTTATTACCCTTATCATCTGCTTTCATTACTTCTGTGGTTTTGGCATAGCTAATAAATGAGTTGAGGCATTCTGGTTCCTTATGGAATTCTGCTGCTAATGTCAGTTCTTGCAGTGGATGGAGATTTTATTCCTGCTTTTGTCTTTGGGCCACCTGCTCATCATCCATTGAAGAACTGTCCTTCTGACTGCTTAACTTCCTTAAAAGCTTTAGGTGAAGGACTTTTTGGAAGTGTTTTGCTAAATCTGAGTGTATCTGGCAGGTTACCTTTGTTGACGTGTTTGTGAATTGAAGAACTGCAACGTTCTTAGAATTTGCCTTTAAGTGTCCTATTGACTTTTCCCCAAACATCCTGTATTTATGCAGGTGCCTGCTAGCTCTGTTTTTTGTTATAACTTCTATTAATTTATCAGCTGACGTCAGTTTTACGCTCTGTGAATGTACGGTTCCGTGGGTTCCCCTGGGATCATTTTGTAAACTGGTGTCAGATTTTCCACTTTCCAATAATCACATGTTGAAGTGGATTTAGCTGAGAGGGTTGTCTGCTAGTATGTAACAGTTTATCCATTTCAGCCTTGAGTTCCTGTTAGGCCCCTTGGATAAACAACTTCTAGTGACTTCATACTGTGTGTTTTGTCCACTTTTCCAAATAAGTTTGGGGTCATAAAGTTTACTCACAATCATCCTCTTTGTAGAGTTTTCTGAATGAGCTCCATTTCTTCCACAAGGATTCCAAGAATTAATTTGACTTCTCTGCAATGGCTGTATCTTTTTAGAGTTCTTTAAATTCCCTCCTCATCTCCAGGCCACCCAGAGTTCCTGGAAGCCTTTCCATTTCTGAAAAGCAACTGGTACCTGCTCTGCCTCTGCCCAACAACAGGGCACAGTGCCATGGGGCAGCATGTCCCTGGCTGTGCAGTGCACCAGCACTGCACCTTGTCCTCCCCAGCTGACAGAAAATCAGTGGGTGTGGAAGGAGCTAGCTGCAGGGTGGGACAGCCCACAGAGAGGTAGCACAGTGAGGGGTGTTGAATTGTTGAACAGGGAACGTGGAAAAAGAGCTGGGAACCATGAGAGAGTGGGTTCAGTAATGTCGGGAGAAACTGAAGTGTTTTGAGAAAATGAAAGTATCGGGGAATTGCTGGATTTTACTGGATTTGTTAGAGCGGATACGCTAATGAGCCATGGCTAGGGCGAGAGTGGAATGAAAGGAGATGTACAGAGTGAGTGTAAACCACAAGCCATTAAAGCTAACAAAGCCTGGATTTTTTTCCTCATCTTCGTAAAGCAGCTTGTCTTAATAAGATACTCTCTTCTTCTGCACCACTTTGTATTTTGCTTCCTGCTGTCACCACCTTGTTCACTTTCATTCTTGTTTTTCTAGTTTTACTTAAATACAATTCTTTGATTGCTTATTCATTATTCATAGAAATGATACTTGGCATTATTCACCTTCAAAGCTCTTCACAAGCCTGCTGTGTCTGAGCCAAGATCAATGGTTAAGACAGAATTATAAAAAAATGCTTTGCTGATGTGGTTTGGATTCATTAGCTCATTTTTGGTAGCATTTTTGGCTAATATCCTAGCTGGTTGCAGATGGAGCCATCTTGAAAATGCATATTGGCATAGCATCAGATATCTAAATTATAAACATGTAATGTATACTAAATGTTTTCAGCTCCCTTTCAATTAAGTTGAGGATTGGATACCACAAGTGATGCAGAGCTTAGCTATGTGAAAATATATCATTGGTGGTCATCATTGTAGTTCTGGGTAATTGTCCTGGATATAGAAAGTAAAAGGAAATGGTTCATATCTCAAAGAGCACATGGTCTAAGGACACAGTCCATGTGGGTTATTTTTGTTAGGGCCCTGAGGGCACTCCTAGGGCTTTATGGGCCCTGACTGGACTCTCCACAGCCAGCCCACTGCCCAGGACACCCTTGTAGGATCCTGGGACTGCTGGCTCCTGCCCCAGTGAGGATCTGCGCAACTCTGCCTGGCCAGCCACGGACCCTGATGAGTCAGGCCCTCCTGCAGTCCCAGCTCCCAGCCTGGTTTCAGGTGGAGGTGCCCAAATCCCAGGGCTGGAGCTGTTCCCTGGCTTGTGCTGCTCCCTGGCTCGCTGTGTTGTCCTGGGAGAGTCTCCCACTATTGACCCACAGAGAGCAGCCAGCCTTTGGGGAACCTTGACACTTTTCTTTCTTTTTCCCTTTCCATTATAAACTTTTTTTTCTGAGCAATTAACTTCTCCCTAAGCATTTATTATTCAATGTTAACAAAGTTGCATTTTTTCACTGGAGTCTTCTTACTTGTGGAGACTTTGGCAATGAAACCATCACAGAAGTGATAGTGGTGATAGCTTTCTTTTTTAAAGTACTTGTTTTTCACCCTTCTCTCCTACATGTTTCCTAAATGATGCTACAGTTCAGAGTGTGTCAAAATAAACATTAACCATATTTCAGAAACTATAAACACTAGAAAGTAGATATTTATCAAATAAGATGATGCAGTGTTATTTCAAAAATACTAAGAATGGTTAAAGAGAGAAAGTCTGATTTTGACTGTAGTTTTAAGCCTTGGAAACACTACATAACTGTAACACCACTTTACTCATTTTATCCTTGTGGGCAATATCTGTTTTCAGTGGGTAACAGCTGGACAGGGCCTTGTTCACCACATTCTCCCTGTCGGCGCTGAGATTTGTATCTGATTCCGATGGAACCTAGTAAGCATGTGAAACAGCCCTGGAAGTCACAGTAACAATGTTTGTGTCCAAAATGATGCTTCAGTTGCATCTCAATAGGCCAAAGCTGTGCAACCTCCTGGGCTAAAAGTGAGCAGTGGCCTTGTCCAAAACCTCTGGGGCATAATGTGGTTATCAGTAACCATGTGCTTTGAGCAGCGACGATTGGAGTGCTGCAACGGGATGTTTTGTTGCTGCTCATCAGTCTGGAAAAGCAGCACCAAAAAAACCCACAAAATAATTCAGGGTGACTATCTCTGAGTCCTGAAAGGTGCCCAAGGAGCAAGGAGTAAGAACTTACCTGGAATGTACGTTGTTTGGATGTGTGACTGCAGAACTTCACTGGTCACTTAGGACTGTGTAGTAAATTGATGTTTTCTTTGGTTGCTTGCTGGTATTTGAGTTGCAACAAAGCACTAGGAAATTGTTCCCACTGAATCACTTCTCCACAGTTGGTGATATGAACTTTGTGGATCACTGCATGCCTGCAATGTATTTGTCTGCAAAGCACAGTCCTCTTCCCATGCATAGTTTTCTATCCATCTCATCAAACTGACTGGAAAGTCTTTCAAGGACCCCTTTTAAACTGTTCCTACATAGTGCCAGTATTTTCTGTCTTTCTGAGTCAAGTCCCATTCATAGCTTCTCTTCCAGTGCATGTTTCATACACAAAAATAAACATTACATGGTATATAATAAGCTGTCTGGGACACTTTTCCAGAATTCTTTTGTTTGCCTGTGATGCATACTGGAATTGTCTTTGCAGATGAGGTCTGGAGGTCTAATGACTCAGAGGCATAGCTCTTTACTTGCTGATGATATCAGATACAGTTGGCCTGGTAACAGCAGATGCTGCAACTACATCAGCAGCTCGTCTGTCTAGGAACTGATGAAAGCAATGCAGTGTTCATAAAAATGAAATCCTTGGCCTTCTAAACTTGTACACCACAGCAGCCTGTATGCAAAGGAGCCCTGAGATCCCACAGTGCCAGGGTCATGGGCAATATCAATATTCCCAGAAAGGATCGCTGGTGTCTCAACTAGTGAGAAAACTGGACAGAGCAGTTGGGCATTAACTGGCTGCTCTTTGGGGAGTTCTTAGAAGTCAAGAAAGATGGTTGTATGCATTTTCTCACTTCTCTTGAAACATTACAATATATACTTTATGCAGATAAAGAAACTACATTTTTGTATGAATGTCAGGCTGAAGCGAGAGAAGAACGGAACCGAACGAATTTGTAACAGTGACGAAGATTGTAGATTTTTCATTCTGAAATCCATGAGGGAATGGAATTTAGTTGTCCTGGCTGACATGAGATAAAACCATTCCAGAGTCTGAAGAGAGCAGAAAGAGGCTTTTGGAACAGAATCTGGCTGACAGCATCTAAAAATGTCCTGTTATCAGGTTATGTAATAATATATTTATTATTTATTATAAACATGCAGCTGTATCCTTGTCTGCCTACATGTGTGCAGTTACTAAAGTAATGAGGACTGTACACAGATTTCCAAATATGGGAGTTGGGTCCCTATTAAAATCTTTCTCTGCCACTGTACAGCTTTGGGAGGATTCTTTTGTCTAATGCTCCTTTTGGGGTGTACATAAATGGAGTGATACTGAGAAAAATGATTGTTCCTGCACTCTGTGGATGCATAAGCCTTACAACAAAGAGTCCCTGCAGATTTTACTCTCTTTAGAAGGAATAAATAATGCTAGTTCTGTAGGAGGGATATTGGAATATTTATCAGGGTGGTGTGTGTGTGTCAAGGAAGGGCTTTCTACCCTAATTGCCTTCCAGTAATCTGACTTTCAAATGCTCTTCCTTTGGATTTTTATCTACACGTTTCCTTCTCCCTTATGCTGACTGAAAGGTCCCTTGTTTCCAGGGTGAGCTAATACTGCACCTAAATCAGTCAGTTGATACAGAGGAATAAGATGCTGAGAAAGAGTGGTAGCATTTTTTATTCTTTTGAGGGTAAGGGAGGAGGGATTACAGGGGGAGGAATTAGGTGTCTGAAAGAAAAACTTGGGAAAATAAGATTGCTGAAAAAAACCTTGCTGAAAGCTAAAACACTATTGTTGGGATTATGCCCAGAAAGGCAAATGAGAATGCAGAAGACAAATAGCGAGCTGCATATCTGGAGTGAAAGAGTGGGAGAAGGGTTTGGCACAGGATCAGGGAGATGTTGACTTGGCCAAGAGGAGGTATGTAGAAATGGCTGTAACCTGGGCAGTGCCACTGAACGAGCAGGGCAAAGACAGAGTTAGTCTGAAACAGAGGTATTAGAAAAAATTGTGAAGAAAAGTAAGTAGCTGAGCTAGGAAGAAAGTGTTTCACATTAGAGAAATACAGGTAATAATTTGGGGTGACTGCAGCTAGATAGTTGTGGGTAATTTGGTAGTAAATGCATAGATATGATTGGCTAATATTTCTGACTGTTGCTCTGCCAGCAGCAGGGAATTATTTCCTTAAAAGAGAGTGAAGTAAAGAAACAAGAATGTAACTTGGACATAGAGTAAGGCAGAGACTGTGTGTGGAAAACTATAAAACCTGTCTGACAAGGGAGGATTAACCCATGCATCTTGCCTGAGCTGGACTTACTGGATGATTTATTAGACTAGCTCCTATTTCTAGCAGAGGTTTGGGTGTTTGTGTGTGGAGGCAAGTTAGATCACATAACAGTAATTTTTTACCTTTTTTTCTCTGCCTGCCCACTCTTCACTACAGCAAATGTCTCAGTGCCCAAATGGCCTGCACGTTCTTCTCAGAGGTACAAATGTGTACATAAACTGCTCTACAGTTTACAGCTGCCCAGCAAATCCTGTTTTTACAGTGTCACTCCCCAGATAACCCTTCACTTACCTTCTTTTTTAAGCAGAATTAATCCCACTGCATCTTGCAAATATTACTTTTTTCCTTAAGATATTGCCATTTTTCCCACTAACCACATGTCCTGCTGTATGTGGATCCCATCAGTTGCAGAAGACATTTTATTTCTGAAAATATGATATTTCATATATTTCCAAGACAATGTATTTTGGTTGGTTCTACCACACTTGTAAATTTTTGTCTATATTATCATGGTTATTTCTCTTAATGTCAGTATCTGACTTTCTAAATACAAAATTAATAAGGGTTTTGCTAATGATGGTCCAGACCTTGACATTGTCATTGGACACAGTTGGGTAAGAGGAATAAAGCTCCATATATGGAATTCTGTTGCATTAAAAAGTGTTTTCTGGGGCATTTCTTTCTGCTTCCTTTACTTCTCTTAAGTACTGGACTTAAGCCAAGGATTTGGGTTTAAGTGGCTCTATTGATCTCGTGTAGACTGACAATGCTCAGAGTCCCTGAAGTAATGATTTGCCTTTGCTGCCTTGCTGAGAGGAAGATGTTATCTTCTATTAGATCGTTATTCAAAAGTGCTGAAATTCTATGAATAGACAAACAGTAGCAGTTAAGGGAGATTATGAAGCTGGATGTGCTGTATGGCTTCAGCAAGCTAATACTCCTAGATACTAGAGACCTGATCTTTCTGATGTAGTTCCGTGTGCCACTTTTCATGTTAGGAATACAGCACAGCAAGAGAGCCCTTTTCTGCAAGGGATCACATAGGATCCCTGCTTCATTTTCTTTTTGTTTTTTCCCCTGTGTTGCCATGTCTTTTTGCTATGTCTGTGGGGTTTTTTATTTCCAGGGCCGCCGGATGAAAAGGCAGGTTGGTGTCTGGGGGAGCTGGGGTGAATGGAGCAAATGCAGTCGGAGCTGTGGCGGTGGAGTCAGCTTTCGGCAGCGGCGCTGCTATTCCCAAAGGTGAGGGCTAACCTCTTTTTTTTTTCCTTTCTTTCTTTTCTTTAAATGTGTTGTACTGTTACTGAGCTCCTGCAGTTATGTTCCAATATACATCCAGAAAAAAAGACTTAGTGTTTGATCCCAGGGGAATGAGACCACTTTGAGATGAACCTCAGTTTCAGTCTTGTCACTGCTGTTTTGCATAGTGCCCTCTCCAGCACATGCTTGCTTTGGCTCCTTTGATAGAGCACAGCAGTTTCTCTGTCAGATCTGAGGCTGTGCAATCAGGGGATTGGCATGGTAGCAGCTGCTCAATCAGGTCTAGTGTGGCAAGCCCTGAGGGAGACGGAGAACAGGCCAGAGCAGGTGGTTTCTCTCCCAAGAGCTGGTGACAGTGCTGAGGTTTCCTGAGGTTTATGATTCTCAGGATGGTAAATTGCCCCAGAAGACATGGAAGAGTGAATTTGGCTCAAGCAGTGTTAGCGCTGTGCCACCTCATTTGCAGCTGGGTTAGCAGCATCCTAATGAGGATGATGACTGGTACTGCACCTGTTGGGAATGATGGACCTTAGAGATCCTGTTATGGATGAAAACAAAGCAAAGGAGGGGAAAAAAAGCCAGACTCTCAATAATATCCTGAAAAAAACAGCCTCTCTCTGTTTAGAGAAATGAGAGGAGGTTTTGTAATAGAAAAAGCCAGGGTTATGAAGCTGCTGCTTCCCACAGAGAATAAAGAAAGGTCTCCTTTGAAGGCTGCCCATTATGGTTTATACCTGCCAGAATCCCGGGAGGCCTGTCTCCCTATTTTAGGAACACTGAGGTGTTAGGCATTGATTGGCTTTTTAGATCAATTTCCTCCATAATTGTTATTCTCCATAACTCTCAGCTGGGGTCATTTGACTGGACTAAGGGTATTGCACACTTTCCATAGTTTCACTCTTCCTAATAAGGGACCTATTGTGCACAAAAAAATCAAGATAAATGATGCACAAAGATATTCTGAATTGGCCGCTATCCTCGGGCTGCTCATAACATGTTTCTCTTCTTGTGTGGACAGCTCAACCCTTTGCTGGTGGACCATGGACTAAAATCTCAGCTTCCATTATTTAGTTGAAATGTGAACTTGAAGAGCTGTACTGCAGTTGTTCACAGTGTGTGTCTCATTCATGCCAGAATACAAACCATAGCATAAAATGGCACTAGAAAATGCCAGCTTGCTTCAGTGGTGAAAAAGTGCATTTTAGTTATTTTGCTGTTTCAGAGAACTCTGTGAGGGTGATATGCTTGGTGTGAAGGTGATTCGTAACGTCTGCCATGAGATGACTTTTTGCACGTGTATTCTTCAGAGAGCTCCATGTATTTTTTCTGTCTTCCAGGACAGAAGGTCCTTCCAGCTGTGTTGGACCAACACGAAGCTATCGGTCATGTAATGTTCAGGTATAGTGCTCTGGTTTTAGTTTTTCTTGCCTGTTGCTCCTTTTCCCCAGACAGATATCATTCTTGTTTAGAAATAAGATGTGATCATTAGTTCCTGTTTCTCTGATGTCACTAGTGAATGCAGTTCATTAACAGTATCCATTCAAAAGTATATTGAAATTATGCCCCAGTTTGAAGGGGCATTTTTATTTTACACTTTATTTTCCTCCTTTTTTACAATACTCCAATACAAACACTTTCTCTTCAAACAGAACTGCCCGGAAGGCTCCCGGGATTTCCGGGCAGAACAGTGTGCAGACTTTGATGGGACAGAATTCCAAGGCAAGAAATATAAGTGGCTTCCATATTATGGAGGTAAGGATAAACATGTGGGGTTACACTTCATCACTACCTATCAACAATGTGTTTTGTAATTACTGTAATGTTTTTTACTGTAGTATCCTTGCAGGGTACTTCCTTAGCTGGAGTGGGGGGCAGGAGCTGGCATGGAAAAAAATCCTTTCGCCAGCAGGAAAGCATTGCTGTCCTGAAGATACTGGATGCATGGGCCAAGAGACAGCATTGCAGCAATATGTACTTGTCTCTTGTAGCAGCCATTCCTTCAGAAACATGCCCAAGGAAATCTGGAACTGCTTGCAGTGAGGTTTCAAAGCATTAGAGGACCAGAAGTTCTGCTGTATTTTCCAATATTGTCAAAAGAATATTAGCAGGGCACAAGAGAAGCAAATGCATGTAATTAATGCGTGCTTCAGAAAATATGACATCTCTTTGATCAGCCCATGCTTTCTTGAGGAACCAGCCCAGAAGGCAGGTGTGGGAACCAGTGGCCTTTGCTCTGAGCTTTGATATAATATCATTTACAGTCGGTTAACAAATTATGAGGGATTTTAAGATAGATTTAAAGGGGTTTTTGTTGCTTGTTAAAATGATATTTCTGTATCAGCACTTTTTCTCATTCTAGAAAGCCCTGTACTCCAAGGGAGTGTAAGAGAAATCCTACTAAGGAATAACCAAATATCCATTTAGACCAATGTCCCCTGAGGAAATATTTCTGTACAGTGAGATTTTACTAGAATATTTTTCCAGCCTCCAGCAGTTTGTGACCCAGAAATTCATTCAGTATCTGCCACTTAATATCAGTAAACCCCTCTGTTTCTGCTCCTGAGATCTAGAACTAGGCTCCTGATGCAGTATCAAGCTATTATATAAAGTTTCTTTTTTCTCTCTTGCCAGCACCTAATAAGTGTGAGTTAAACTGTATTCCCAAGGGAGAAAACTTCTACTACAGGCACAAGGAAGCAGTGGTAGATGGGACTACCTGTGAACCTGGCAAGCGAGATATCTGTGTAGAGGGAGTTTGTCAGGTTAGTCTTCTCAGTATTTCCTTCATTCATCATTGGGTCTGTCAGTCTTTCTGTTGCCTCCCTTTGTTCTACTTGAACTTTCATCATAGCATCAGAAAAGGAGAATCACTGCATTTCAAGGTGCTGAGGAGCATCTGGATAACATTTATCTGGCTCTGGCTGTGAAATAGTAGATAACAGCTTTGTTGTTTTCTCTGCCCTATCCTGACTTTCTGGGCTCCCTAGATTCAGGATTTCTCAATAGATCTGTCCAGCATCTGGCCTTTTTTTTCCCCCTCTGTCATTGCAGTTTATTCCTATTAATGCTCCTGTGCTCTGACAGGCTGTTGGCTGTGATAATATGCTGGAATCTGCCAAGAAGGAGGACAAGTGCCTGCAGTGTGGAGGAGATGGCAGCACCTGCTATGGTGTGAAGGGCACTTTTGATGTGGCCAACCTCCCCAAAGGTACAGATGATCCTAGGTAGTTTGGGCAGGTGAGAAGGAGAGAGTTAAACTAAAAATCAACTGCTACAAGGGCTGGTGGGGACACCTGCTCACATGATTGTTATAGGCATGCTTGGATGTTCACTTGAAATATCTGTACTGTGTGTGGTCTTAGCATTAGAAAAAGTACTCTTGGCATTATCCTGGGAATCACTTTGTCAGTCTGTGTCCACACTGAAGTACTTCCATCATGCTGATGTCTTTCCCCACTCCCTCTCCAGCAGGTGCTATAAATGCACCATAATAACATCACCACACACCGTCTTTGTGAGGCTGTCCAGCGTTTTGATAGCCCCACCAGGACACGTGCAGGGCTAGAAATGGGACTGCATCTTCTGCATTTGGCCAATTTTGAAAAATTTCAATATGTCAACCACACTTGTGGTCGCATCTCTCTATGTTGAACTCCAATATGATTCTTGCTGAAATTCCAAAGATTCCAAAATGTAGCAAATGGACTTTTCTGAGCTGTCATTGGAATTTTTTATACATGGACTGATCTGTGGACAATGTAGGGTGAGGTTATTCAGCATGCAGTTAAAGTGATGATAGAAATGCTTCGTGTCACCATCAAAAAGCTCATCTAGTTGTTCAGGCACAAATGAAGCCATGAGCACCTTTGGCACAGAGGAGTGGCTATATGGCACCCACAGTGAGATATTGAATAATCCCCCTTTTTTTTCAGGTTACAATCAAATCTTTATTATCCCTGTGGGAGCCACAAGCATCCAAATTAAGGAGGTTAAGCCCAGCAGGAACTTCCTAGGTATGATTGATGTCAGAATCTGTGTATCAGTCCATTTGGATTCCAGCCACTATGCTAAAATCTGGTTTTCAGTTATGGGTTTACCTTGAGGGCTTGATATGGCAGAGTGAAAAACTGAATATCAGGATATTGAGTATCCTTGAAATGTGAGTGATGCACAACTCTGGGCTTCACATTTACTTCATTTTTTTCTGTCCTGTGGAGATCTTGCTGTTGGGTGCAGAATAAAAATACCCAAACCACACTGAGACTTCCTGCCTGTAAGGAATCTAGCTGATCTAGTCAAATTTGGCTGTGAGTTCTGTTTGGTGAATGCAAACCCTACCTACTCCTGCCATCTAGAAGTTTGGGGTGGGCTTCTTTTCTCCATAGATTTCTTTAGAGCATTTGTACAGCTTCAAACTCTGGTCATTCTGCAGAGGGGAAAAAGGAGGGAGAAAAGGCCTTGCCTAGATTTCTGAGCAGGGCTGAGGAAATTCCAGTGGAGAAAGCAAATACTCTTCTGCTTTCTGAATGTTCCATCACTGAGTGCTTAGGATAAATCAGTCTGGTGATGTTTTCCTTTGTAGAAAACTCGATTCAGCACACATCTTGCTTTCTGAATAGAGTATCTGATGAACCTGATAGTGGTGTAAAGTCAATGGAGTGTGAATCCCACATCCTAATGGTAAGATGGTCCAGAGGCTGGCATCGGCTGTGCTCCAGAAACTAACAGTGGGGAATGCAGAGGCAGGGCAGGAATATGCTGGAGGCATTTGGCTGTGCAGCAAAAAAGTGCTTGATCTGCAGCAAAGCTGGCAAGAACCACTGTTTGAATGTGGTTTAGCACCTTCTGCTAAAAAGCCATACAGGAAGGACAGCATTGATGGAGGATGGTGGTCATTCTCATTTGCTTGTGACACAGTATTAAGTAGAAACAGGAGCAACCTTGTGGAGTTCTTATGATCCTTTCTCTGGCTTGTGGGTTTGTCCAGCTGTCAAGAACGTGCGAGGAGAGTATTACCTGAACGGGCACTGGACGATTGACTTCAGCCGGGCGCTGCAGGTGGCCAGCACAGTGCTGCACTATGACCGTGGCTCGGAGGGTGATGTGGCCCCAGAGCTCCTCCATGCCCGGGGTCCCACCACAGAACCCCTCGTCATTGAGGTGAGAGGCTGTGCCTTCCCCCACTGACACTCTGCTCTCGCTTTCCAGGGTGGGAGTACACTGGGAAAAACTGGAGACATGATGGGGACCCCAGGAATCTTACAAGGCTGAGGGCCTTCCACCTAGACCACAGAAATAGCACTTATTGCTGCTCTGGTTCTATTGCCCAGAAATAAGCGGTGCAAAGCTCATTGACGGTTTCCTGCCTATTCCTTTGGGCACTGACTTTAGGGGAGGCTAGAGTCAGCAGCAAATTATGTTGGGGCAGGGATAGGTTCCAGGACACTGCTTGTTATGCTGTGCTGTAGGGCAGGAAATGTAGCTGCTGTGACAGGAGCAGATGGATCTTCTACAGCCAAGAGGGATGAATGCACCCTTCTCTGAAAAATAATGCTCTCCAGAACATGATGGAAGACAAGGAGAAAATCCAGTGCAGAGAATTAGTGCTTCTTGAATGGGAGAGGTGCAGGTCAGCTGGAACCATCAGACATGGTGGGGAAATGCTCTGAAAAGGAAAAGTGTAATTTCCCTGATTTCCTCCCATGCTTTTGCAGCTCATCAGCCAGGAGACAAACACCGGGGTACAGTATGAGTATTACCTGCCCCTGCAAGGACAGGCCTCAGGTTACAGCTGGAGCTACAGTTCCTGGAGCGAGTGCAGTTCCGAATGTGGAGGAGGTAAGGGGAGAAGACCTGATCCCTGGTGGCTGGTATGGGGTTTATATCCACACCCTGCAGGCAGTGTAACAGTGTGCTGCCCTCTGCAGCAGCTTCCCAGCAGTCTCCTGCTGTAAGGCAGCACAGGGATCCACAGGGTGTTGCTAAGGTTTTGTCAAGGGAGGGTCGTGCAAGGAGTCACAACAGGACTGGCCCATGCAAACACGTGGCCTGTGCCTTGTTCTTATATTCCATTCCCTAGTTCTCAGACTTATTACTAGGACCTGTTGAGAATCTTCATAGATAGTCTTTGTTTTGATTTGCTTCAGGTCTTCATAGTCTTTTCAACCACTTGAGAGGTCCTCTCCAGAGAGACCTGGCCTACATTAGTGAATCACATCATTCTCCTCTCCCACTGCCTGGAAGATTCCCCCTCTCCAAGAGGACTGTCAGATCTCCTAGGGTGTCCCATCATATTCAGTTTACAGATTCCTCCATGAGCAACAACATGGATTTTAAGCTTAAAAGAAAAACAAACCAAAAACTTCAATCAATCAAACAAAAAAAAACCCCTCACCAGCTGATTAGTATATAGAGCTGTTATCAGCTTCTTCTGGGCTTCCATCCTAATGGCCATTTTGGCAGCTTTTGCCATATTGTGACTGTAGGTGCTAAAATTGTCTTTGGCTGGGCACTCATAACCAGTAGGAAGCATGAAGAGTTGCAAGTATTACTCCCATATCCAGTCCTCACAAGGCTGACCTTTTGAGTCCAGCTGGAGACCTCCAGTTCTGCTGTACACTGCACACATCTTGCAGGGCTCCTTCATGAGCAACTTACGGCTGGGGCACTCCCCTTGTGAGCCTTGATCCATAATATAACAGGAAAGTTCCCCTCAGCTACACAGAACTGCACTGTCTCCCTTGCTCTTCCAGCAAACCCCTATACTGTTGGAAGGCATCATTTGTCCATGTAGAGAGAGACAAAGACCTGCCAAAAAAGACAAAGTCTCTTTTCCAGAATGGCTGGGAAGGTGTGGATTCTACATGACTTCAGAAACTTGCCTCGCCAACCCCAGTGTATTGCTAACCTAGTGCTGGGTAGCTTGTGTTGATCAGACACTCTCTTGCTTGTCCCCCAGGCTTCCAGTCCCGCTTGGTGTTTTGTACCATAGACAATGAAATTTATCCAGACTACATGTGCAGGAATAAGCCACAACCAGAAAACAACCGGACGTGTGGCCATCAGCCTTGTCCCCACACAAAACGGTACCATTTCTTTCCTTCTTCTAATGTCTGACTTCTTCCTGAGGTGCTTTTGGAACCAAGAAAAAAGTGACTCTCTCACTTCTGCCCTCCAGCATGGTTCTCCCCAAAGAGGTGCTTCACTTCTAAGAAAAAGCTAAAGACAAAAGATTGGGATGATAACACAGTGATGAGTGAGGGCATTTTCTATGTGCACAAGAAGAAAAGGCTTAACACATCCTGTTCATTTTATAGACACATTAAATTTGCCTTCCAAAATAGTATTGTGGAAGACAGTTGTCTAGCCCATGTAGGAGATATGAAAGAGATTCCCTGGTTTTTCTTCTCTTGAGCTGGAGCCTACAGAGTAGAAAGTCTGAGCTGGTGTAATTTTATGCCATTTCTGCATTCCCATTGTCTGTTCCCTTAGAAAGGGATGAATCCTGGAGTCTCTTCATTCTCCAGCATTTTCAAACCCCTTCACCCAGCCATTTCCAACTTGTTCCTTACATCTGGCTTCACTTGGCTCTTACTGGGCATCCAGAGCTGTGACATGAGCACTAACTGTGTATCTGTGTACCAGTGGAGGCCTATGAGAGCACTCATGTGCATGAGAGGTCACCTGGGAGCATTTCTGAATACATGTCAGCCTGTAGCTACTTGTTTTAAGTTCTTTAAAACCTTTGTTCTGTGTATAAAGGACTTCTTACATCTACCTGCCGCAAGCCTGGAGTCACAGCGGTGCACAGAGCTCTCAGATGAAGAGGTAACAAGCAGAAGGAAGTTACAGAAAGCACAGGAAGGCAGCTGCTCTCTTCTGCTCTCCACCTAGTTGTTCACTAAATTCCGTGGGGGCTTTCCTCTCTGGCACTGGTGGTAGAAGTGCGTGTTTCTTTGCTTTTGATGCTTGCCAGTGAAAATGGTGGTGGAGGGTGCTGGCTGGCAGCTTTGCTTAGGTGGCTGCACATGCCTCTGGTAACTTGATTCTTAGGGGACTGAGAAAGCGATGATTTCTTCATAGCTTCTGGCTGCTTATTCTCATGTTTTCTCTGGAATCAGGGTAAAGAAGTTCTCGAAGATTTTGTTTTTTAATTTACTTATCAAGATAAAGAAAAGAACATAAAGGAAAAGAGAGCCTGATCATTTGGGCAATTGTAACATGGGCCAGTATGGCATAGAGAAAGACTTAGAGCTTCCTAAAAGCTCTTCTTTTTTGGCATGGGCCCTATAGCAGGCAGAAAACAGTATGTAAGATGTGATGAGTACAAGGATGTGAGAGATACAATAATGTACACTAAGATATGAGAAGTTAAAAATATCAAAAGCAAAACAGTTGTCCCCCAGCAAGCTGCTAATAGCTTAGGACTGGCAATTTTTGCCCTCTGATGAGGGTTCCAGCCTTAGGATTGACCTTGTCTTACAAAGGAATAAAACAAGGGTCAGAGAAGTCTTAATTTGCAATTGAAGAAAGCTGTAAGTGATCCCATCTGGTTGATACAGCCTTTCCAAAACCATACATTTGCTTTACAGGGGGCAGAATACAGTATCTGGGGGGGTGGGGGGCGGAGGGGGAAGTTATTCCCATTGGAGCTTTTGAGAAAACCTGATGAATAATTTGTTATAAAGCCCTGCAACCACACCACTGTAAATGGCTTCTACTGAATGTATTTGTTCCCTTTCCAAAGTAAAGATTTTATAGTGAAGGCCATTCAGTTTTGGGTTGACGTGCATCTTTAGCAATAAAGAAGTGTGTTTTTAGGAACTGACCATGGCAGAGTCTACTGTGGAATCCTGTTAGGATGTGAATGTGAATTGGCTGGCTGAAACTTGGTTAAGGGGTGGCAAGAGCCATGCTAGGGAAGTAGCTGGAATGCTGGGGGAGAAAACACGAACTGCTTTCATTCCCTAGCTGGGCCTTACCTGGCTGCAAGGGAACATAGCAGATGGCAAGCAGATCACCAGGATGCTCCCCCTCCACAACTAGTGCCTTTGGACTACACTGCATGCTGGATTTGGGGATGAAACATCATATTGTCAGTGAAGCCAGGCCATGCAAGGTGTGGTTCAAGCTACCCAGCTAGCTCTGAGAAGCTGGGGTGGCCATGGGCAGAGATTTTAGTATCTAGACAGATTGTTTTGTGGACACATTCCCTTTGTTAGCAAGAGTGTATCATTTCTGCAGCAGCTTCAGCAACCAAAGAGAGGAAAAAATCTATTTACATTTTTGTGGGCTTTTTGTATGTGTGCTGCAGTTAGAGAATTTGACTGATGGGAAGAATAAGCCAGCTTTCTACTGGCCGTCAGTGAAAAGTTAAGCACTTCTGAGAGTGTCTGGCATGGTTTGCGGGCAGAGTGAGGACTTGGCTTGGTTTTATTGTTTCTGATAATGTCTGGAGTGTAATGTGTGGATTAGGCTTTAGTGGTAGCTTTTCTTTTAGCTGATCTGGATTGGTTTTTTGAGATTTTTCTTTCATTTTTTTTGATGTTCTATTCCAGGCATGACATTTTTGCAGACATCAGGAGACCAAAAGCCATGGAGAGAGATATTCCCCATCTGGGAGAGCTCTGCATTTCCAGAGAAAAAAAGTGTTTTGTAGCTGGGGACTCTGGAGTAGGACTAATGCTCTGCATTGCCAATTAAGCTGGGCATGCTTGGTCAAGTGGGAACTCGCCTCTGATTCTATTCTGCAAGGGGACATCATCCCTGTTTGATTTCTGCAGGGATGTGGCACCGACTCCTCTGTGCCTCCGGGCAGTTTGGCTGGGCTTACATTTTTTTTTCTTTTTTTTTTTTGTGCTTGATTCTGTGACCTACAGGTGGAAAACAGGAGAGTGGGGATCCTGCTCAGCCACCTGCGGCGGGGGCACCCAGACCCGCTCGGTGTACTGCGTGGCGTTTGACGGCCAGAGCGCGCAGGGCGTGGTGGACGACGCCGAGTGCATGGCCTTCGGCCAGCAGCCGCGCCGCAGCCAGCCCTGCAACGTCCGGCAGTGTGCCACCTGGAGCACGGGGCCCTGGTCCGAGGTCAGTGCCCTGGGCAGCTAACGGCCTCCTGGAGGAGGATCTGCCAAACTTAGGGAGAAAGTGCCAGGCTCCTCTTCTGGGGCTACAAAAAGCATGTGTGCCTGGATAGGTGGCGTGCGGAGGTGTAGAACTTCTCCCTGCAGCCCTCCGATGCCCTTCTATGAACTCAAAACTCCTCCTGTTCCTCAAAACTGTGCATGTCCCTGCACCTCTGCTCTTCTCATTGCACGTTCTCTCTTTTCTGGTTTGCCAATCCTTTCTCCACATCTGTGTTTTTATTAGACCCCGACCCCCCCCCCCCCCCCCCCCCCACCTGGCACTGGCTTGGTTTCTGAGCCAGGCCTGGTGAAGGCGGAGCACCAGCAGGAGGGCTTCCGTCCATCAGCTGAGGATGGGCAGTAGGACACCCTCCTCTGTGAAACAGGAGCTTGTGGCTTCTGCCTGTGCTAGTTATTTCCATGTATTTTGCTGCCTCACATTACCAGCCAGGGCAGCAAAACTCTTGAAATACTGGTGACCTGCTGTTTGCTGTGTGTCTGCACAGGGCTTCTCCAAACACAGCCATGTGGTGCATTTTTGATGCTTGTGTGCATTTATATCTGCAGGAGTACAAACAGCTCAAACTGTGCGCACTCAGCTTTTAGAAGGCATCTTACATTCCAAGGGCTTAGAAAGTAAAGAGCGCGTCTACTCAGTCCCTAAAGTACAAGTGAATTTTCCTCTATTGGAAGAAGTACGTGCATGCTTGCAACACTTGATTTGCAATCTTGTGGTTGCACTTAGCCTGTCTGAGTTGTGCAACAGCACAAAATGCAACTTTGAGGCATGATCACCCAGACTGGAAAGTCCTTCCACCCCCTCTTTCCCCCTACCTTGTGAGATGTGAGGTGTGAACTTTGGGGTTGTGGAGTAAGACTGCTGTTTGGGGAAGGCACCAAGGGTCATGTTCTTACAAAGTGATGCCTGAGTAATTCATTCCAGTGTTCTCAGAAGCAACTGTGTACTCTGAGTTAAAAGGTTACTCTGGTAAATGAATGGCTGAAGCTCAGCTGGGAAGCTCATCTGAAGTGATTCAGGCTGTCCCCAAGTTAATGCTCTCTGTAAGACACTTTGGTAATTCATGTAGAAGTAGGTTGGATTCCAGGAAACACCACTGTGAATTTAAGAGGGCGTTGGAAATGTCACAAACTAGTTACTGGTATAGAAGTTGTCACAGCTCCAAGCTGTAAAAATAGAGCACAAGGTCTTCAAACAAAAGACATGAGCAATATAAGAACCCAACCTTATACTTTCCCTCAAATTCTTCACCTTGCATTGGTTTTTCTTAGATGTAAGTAACATGAGTTTCCAGATATTTTCTACCATGTTTTGTTCTCAATGTATTTTGCAGTATCTGGTATTTTTCTGATATTTTTCTAAATTCATCCTTCACATCTCCTTTTGGGAGACATCAAGAGTAAGTATATGAATAGGCCAAAATCATCCAGTGAGCTCCAGATCTTCCAGACCCTCTCCCATGCCTTATTGTCTCCTCTACAGCATAAACAGCTACTCTGCCAACTCCCACCCCAGAAAATTATTTTAATGATAGCTGGTTGTTTCAGGCAGTCTCAAAATGGTGCTCCGCTCTAATGATAGGGAGCCCAGCCTGGAACTGCAAGAGGAAACCAGGTGCTTCTTTGTAATTGCTGGGCCCCTTTCTGCAGTGCTCAGCCAGCTGTGGGGAAGGAGTGCAGACCCGGACTGTCACCTGCAGGACACAGCAGGGCTCCCAGGCTCAGGACTTCGCTTGTCTAATGGAGCCAAAGCCATCGGCCACCCAGCCCTGCCTTAAGGAGAACTGCATCCAGGAAATCGGCTGGCACGTTGGAGACTGGGGTCTGGTGAGCACCTCGCTGTCATGGCTCCAAAATTACTGATTGTATTGCTGTGCTCCTCACAAACAAGCTTTGATCCACGCAGTCTGCACATTGGCTGAGGCTGGGAGCAAGGACTGCTTCATTACCAGTCCCTTGGCTCACAGTTATGTTGTAACTGGCACTAGTAATGCTCCAGTTAATCTGATGCCCGCTTTGTGTGCAGCTGCTACAAAAATAAATCCTTCTGAGGGGAGATTATTGTTTCAGTGACAGTGGCAAAATGCAGCCAATAAGCTGAAACAATCCACTCCTGCTCCTTATTCTCAGTTCTTTGCTCCATCACTGTGATGAGCAGAACAGGTCTCAGCCCAAGTTTGGCTCAGAGCTGTAGGCTTCAGAACTGGTCATTGCACTTGGTGACATGCTTTAAAGTACATTTTTGTAATTATTCAGATAAACTGTGCTTCAGATGGATTAATCCTGTCTTTCTGTGGAAGCCAGACTGTCTTCAACCTGGGAAAAGTATCGGGGGTAGAGATATGGGTAGGTCACATGCATCAGGTGACTTCCAAACACACTTGTTTACTTCTCTGCTAGCCAGACCAGCTTGTTCTGGGCTAAAACATGTTACATATGCTTCTTCATGAGATGTGGGCCAAGTTTTAGTTACAGCTAAAGAAGTTTCATATCCTAATCTGATCTTTCTCCTGACTTTCTGATATCAGAAGGTCTCCTATCTGCCTCTCTGAATTAGTGGGAAATACTCTCCAAATGTTTATAGAACTTGCCATGAGCCATGTGGGTTGCACAGACACCTCATGCTATTCCCTCCTCTGAGCCACTGGTCCCTCTCATCCACAGCTTCCAGTAAGGCAAACTCCAGTTAGCTGCTTACAAGAAAGCCACTCATTTGCTTTCCAGTTGTAATCTGTTCTTCTTGAATGCAAACTGACCCACCCACAGCTCTTGGATCCCCAGAGAATTGAGGTGCCTTTATGCCTTCAGACTGAATTAGTCTCTCCAGCCCCCTGACACACTACTGTGGGTAACAGCAGCTCATCTGGATGTTACAGGCTGAGTGTGGCACAGAGCCTAATGCTTCAGGGCTGGGTGGAACATCTGGTAAAATGGTTTAAAGTATGGTTTTCTAATTGTTCAGATGATTTCCAGCTGAAATATCATTTGCTTTGTCTTGGTGGAGGAAGCTGTGCTCAGCCTGCAGCTAATCATGCAGCTGTTCCCCACTTCTGATCTGTGGGGTTTCTGCATTCAGCCTTTGCTGCCTGCTCAGTGCCTTGTCTCTGTGCCCAAGTGTTCCAAGAGCTGCGATTCAGGCATCCGGACACGCCAGGTCATCTGTGCTGACGGCGACTCCAAAGTCTACAGTCCTGAGATGTGCAAAGCCATCCAGCCACAGAAACCAGCCACCCTGGGTAGCTGCAACACACAGCCCTGCTACCTGCCACAGCGTGAGTGGTATTACTGCACGCCCAGCTTTTCCCAACAGGCTTTTTCTTAGGAGTAGAAATTCCCAGCTCTGCACCAGCTTATGTTCTCAGCTTTTTGCCTGCCTGTCTCTATCCTGTGAGTTTGCCACGGTTATGTGCACAAAGCATCTTCAGGGTCCCAGTACCTGTGCTGTTTGAAGTGTATGCAACAGGCTTGGGAACAACATTGGTTTGTGTCCATTTTGAATCCAGTATTCTTTGTGCTATATCCAGTGTGTGTGCTGCAGACTGATCCCAGGCATCCCAGTCCAGATGGATGGTAACTTGGGCAGGCTTAGTAGCAACAACCTGTAGCCAACTCTCATCCCTCTGTGGACTGGCTCTAAAGGAGTCACAACTTTTCAGAACGTTTTGCTTCTTGTCTGTGTCTATTCTCCATGTCAGAGCTGCAACACTGACTTTTTCTGCCTGCCCGTTGTAGGTCACTTGTCCTGACAATCCAATTGAATCCAATTGCTGCTCAGCAGCAATTGCACAAGAGGAACAGGAACATTTTCATCAGCTTTTATCTCCTGCTGATTGCTGGATGTATTTGCAATTATTAGAGCACAGTGCTGGACTAACTGCAATCCATTTTGTGTCTATTTGCAGAGGTCCCCAGCATGCAGGACACTATGGGATACAATGTCACTCGCCAGTCCTTGCTGACACGTTACAACCCAAAGAGCCCTGCCCTTCCAGGTTGGAAGAATTTTTTTAATTTGGGGTTTGATGATGGGATACTTGGAATAGGCTGTGGTAGGGAGAGGGATCATTCTTTTCTTTGTTTCTCTCATTTTTTTTTCATGGGTTCCTAGGAACTCAAGGAGCCAGGGACAAAATGTAGATTATTTTACACCAACAGTGAGCAGTATTTGAATCTATCCATGTAGGAGATTCTGTACAGGATATGGATCCCAGGCTCTATCAGCATGACCTAAGTGCTGCCTGGAAGAAATGATGCCCAAAGCAGATCGTAGGAACAAGGATGATGTGAAGGGACCACAGCAATGTGGTTTCTCATGGGACAGCAGGAAGAATGGTCAAGGCAATGAGCAAAGTACCTCAACCAGATGAGGAAAGATGGGCCAGAAGACACCCCTAGATGTGATGCAGAAAATCCTGCCAGGTAGCCTTGGGCAGGTGAAAGAGAGCAGAGAGGAGGAAAGCTGGCCAGATTTTCATGCTCACCTGCATACCTTGAGCTCTCTCCCCAGATTCTGATGATGGAAGAATGCTCCCTGGGAACACCATGATCCATAGTGCCTCAGGGAATCAACACATGCCATCCACCAAAGATCACGGCATCAACTTGTTTGCTGTCCACTGGGAGCCCCAGTCTCGCTCCCCAGGCTCCCATCGGCTCAGCTTCTCTCAGGACCCCCCTGCAGGGACTGGCTCCCAGGACTGCCACCAGAGCCCCCATGGCTGCTGTCCAGATGGGCGCACTCTGGCGTCGGGCCCTCTGGGGAGAGGTTGCCCTTTCAGCACCTGCCACCAAAACAGGTAGCTGGAAGTGGATAGGCCTGAGCAGGGAGGCATTGCCTTTCCTGGCAATGCCCTTCCTGAATCTTGTAGCCCATGCCTGTTGACCGGGGAGGTCAGGTGTTACTGCAGCCCTTCTGTCTGTAGGTATGGCTGCTGCCCCGATGGAGTATCGGCTGCCCAGGGTCCAAACAACATTGGATGCCCACAATATTATCATGACATTCGAATGAGACAAAATCGTCCCACTGCAACCACTCCAGCAGTAAGTGCAAAAGCTCTTTGCATTTTAGGAGTCGATCAGATGTGAGGATTCAGATTTTACCCTGCTGACTCACATTGTGGATTCCGTTGGACTTCATCTCTGCCAGTATTGCTGAGGAACCAATACTCGAGGCATGGCATCAAGCCCTCTGGCCCACCTTGTTCCTGCTCAGTCTGGAGCATTCACCTGCAATCCTCTACAAGCAGGGCACAGAGCAGGTGGTGGGGAGATGTCTGAGAAGTAGAAGGCCATCCTGTGTAGACCTGATTGAATAATCCTGGGTAATCAAATTTCTATTGGTCAGAAGATTGCTATCCAGTTTCTAGGGGAAAAAAAAAAAAGGGGGAAAAGCATGGCTTCTATTAATTGCTTTCGTTTGTCAACTCTGCAGATTAATTCAAGGTGGGGAGGTGATCCTTCCCATAGGTTGGGGTGCTTGTTAGTGGCAGCAATAAGAACTGGCCTGCTGCTGGGCTGTTTAGGTGTGCCTTGCAGAGAAGTGCAGGCCCAGTTCCATGGCTGGCAGCCAAGCTTCCCACCCCTTCCCAGGACAAAAGCCTCTGGGAGGCAAACAAGCAAACAGTGGTGCCTCTAACAGCTGGCTGTGTGCAGCTGACAGCTTGCACACGGTGCCTTGCATGTGCTGCTGTCCTCATGTGTGAGGATAACTCTTGGCTTTCCATTCCTGTCCCCAAGGCAAGCCAAGCCTTGTCCCAGCAGCACCCCTCGGGCGAGTGCCGCGGCTCCCTGTACGGCTGCTGTTTTGACAACGTCGCCTCAGCCAAAGGTCCTCGAGGGGAAGGATGTCTCAATAGGCCCAACTACCGTAAGTGATGCTTTGGCTTATTGGTTTAGAAACACAAAAAGAGTCCAGTAGCATATAGAAGTTTCCTGTGCAGAGGTTCTGCTCTCTGTAAAATGCAGTAAATAATCTCTCTGAAGAGAATTTCTACCTGGCAGTTGGGGCAACAGAAACTTGGAGGGAGTGTTGAAAAGCAGCCTGAGGATTCAGCTCTGCCAGCTGCTGCAAAAATTCTTGTTGTCCTCTGCTGATAGTTGGACAGAAGTGTGTTTGTGTGATTTCTGTCAGTCTGTAGGACTACTCAGGAGTTGTTTGTCCCTGAGAAGTCACTTTGATGCAGCCTGGAGTGCTCTGAACGAAATACCCAGGTTAAGGAGTAGGGATCTCCTGTGGAATCAGGACAGTGCTCAGTCTTCAGACAACCTGTGGACAGGGGAGGAATGAGAACTACGTGGGGAAGGAGGGGTTGCTCAGGGCTGCATGGATGCCCTTAGCCAGCAAATTTCAATCCAGTGCCTGCTGTGCTATGAGGACACAAGGGCTGCTGGGCAAAAGGATCTCTGCTCCTTTAGTTCCCAGCTGTACCCTCTGCAGGCCTTGCCCTTCTGCTGCAGCACAGAGATTTCTTGGTGGCCATCCCTGTGGTGCAGCCTTGAGGAAGGGGAAAATTCTCTGGATCCTCTCAGCTGAGCCACAGCTTGACAAAGCACCTTGCAGCCAGAGCCCTGCATCCAGTGCTTGTCAGCTTGTGGCTTGTGGCTCCGGGTTTGTAGATACCTTGGGTTGTGCTCCTCTTTATATCAGTGTGCAGGGGTATTCTGTGTTGCACGAGTCTTTTTCACAGCTGGATCTAAGCCACTTGCTTTGTGCAAATGGCAGCCATGTGTCCCTTGCAGGAGAGGAAGCCCCAGAGCCTGCTTTGCAGTTGCAGAATTCTCCAAGCAAGGCTGTAAAGCATCTGTCTAGTATGTAGATTCAGAAATGTCTTCGATGATGGTTCTTCCATCAGAGGCAAAACTGAGGCAAAATGAAATGTGAGCAGTTTCTCAGTTTCAAAGCACAGCTTTGAAGGACACCCAGGTGTCCTACTTTCCCACCTGCCCTTTGCCACAGGGCCATCACATAAATCATCTAGGTGGGTGGCTTGAAGCCCCTGGACCTTTGTGCTTTGTGACCCTCACATCTCCCTCTGTTCCACTCTTTTTGGTAGCGTACCCTGTCATGTGCCTGCTGCCCAGTGCCCACGGCCCCTGCACCAACTGGACCACTCGCTGGTACTTCGTGGGGGTCGTTGGCAAGTGCAACCGGTTTTGGTATGGCGGCTGTCATGGGAATAAAAACAGCTTTGCCTCGGAGGAGGAGTGCATGAGAGTGTGCCACAGCTCTGTGGGGGTCAGTCCTCTGGAGCTCCAGCCCTCTCCTGGCACAGAAGTGCTGCAACACCAGCAGACTGGCTCCAGTTCTCACGCAGAGCATGCTCAGGGTCAGCATAAATCACCCACAAGAGAGACCACAAGTCACAGCCAAGAAGGAAGAATCTATGGGGCTTCACTCCCCAAGCAAGACAGCCACAGCTGGAGGAGGGACATGCTGCCAGAGGCCTTGCCAAGGACTGGTGTGCTGGAGAGCCAGAGAAGCAGACTGAACAGCCTGGGCCAGCTGCCCTCCTGGGAAACAGCCATGCCTGGGCCCCTGGACAGGCAGAGCAGCAGTGGCCAGCAGGTGCTACCCCGGGAAGGCAAGCAGTGGCGTGAAGCTTTCGGAGCAGATGTTTCTGTGACAGAGGGATTTGGGCACCAGGAGTCTGCAGACTTGTTCCCAGCAAAGGCTCTGCACAGGTGATGATTTCTACCCACCCCTCCTCCCCGTTCTGCCTGCTCATTATGAAGCATGAGTGCAGCTTTCTCTGGAGTGAAAATGTTGCCTCAGCTGGGACTAGCTAACTGGGGATACCATGTGATGGATTAGCTACGCATGTGGCCCTGTGGTAAATCAAGTCACTGTCATTCAGGCCCTGGTATTACCTGCTGTCTCTTTTTTCACACACTCCCTGGTCTCTGACAGCACTGAAGTATCGTGTGTGAAAAGACTGCAGAATCCTGGGGTCTCTGTCTGGGAGGGCTTCTTACACTGTAAATGAGAATCCATAGGTGTTCTTCTTGTTCTGACCAACAAATTTAGCTGACACTCTGACTTCAGAGCCTTTATCTCAGCACAGCATGGAGCAGCAGTGGGTTGTTCTAGGGAAGACTTAAGATGCAGACTTTGGGTCAAGATCCAGACAGTGTTACCCTGAAAATCAAGAGTGTGTAGAGCTAGATCTAAACATATCTGCACTGGATCTGTCTGTCTTCTGAGCTGTACCTTGTTCCTTCAGAAGAGAGGGGTTACAGGGCTTTCTTCCAGGAGATATTGTAGCATTCACTCTGTCCAGAGCAGCCTTTCCTCTATAGGAGAGGGCTCCCCATGCTGCCCAGTGCATCTGCTCAAAGCTGAATGGGCAGCTGGTCCTGCTTTGCCTTGTGGTTGTAACTCATCCAGAGTCACATGAGAGGACACAGAGGGTAGAAGAACTGCCAATGGAATCACTTTTTCTTTCAGAACAATCCTGGAGGAAGGCAAGCCCCCTCTTGTGACAGCAGTCGTGGGACAAAACATCCAGCTGGTCTGCAAGACAGGTGTGTCCCCGCTCTCCAGAGTGGAGTGGATGAAGAACAGCCGACCGGTCTCCTCTGACAGGTGAGCTCAGATCCCTTCATTGTAGAGCAGATGGGCTCCTTGCTGGGCAGAGTGCCAAATATGCAGTCCAAAAAGGACTGTCATGGTTTCACCCCAGCTGGCAACTCAGCCCCACAGAGCTGCTCACTCACCCCTGGTGGGATGGGAGAGAGAATCAGAAGGGTAAAACTGAGAAAATCCATGGACTGAGATAAAGACAATTTAAAAGATAAAACAAAAGCCGTGGGTGCAAGCAAAGCAAAACAAGGGATTCATTCATCACTTCCCACAGGCAGGCAGGTGTTCAGCTGTCTCCAGAAAAGCAGGGCCCCATCACACATAACAGTGACTTGGGAAGACAAACGCCATCACTCCGAACTCGCCCCCGTTCCTCCTCCTTTCCCCAGCTTTACATGCTGAGCATGATGCCATATGGTATGGAATATCCCTCTGGTCTGTCAGGGTCAGCTGTCCCAGCTGTGTCCCCTCCCAGCTTCTTGAGCACCCGCAGCCCACTGGCGGGTGGGGTGAGAAGCAGAAAAGGCCTTGACTTGGTGTAAACACTTCTCAGCAGTAGTGAAACCATCAACACTGTTTTCAGCATAAATCCAAAACACAGCCACATACCAGCTACTGTGAAGAAAATTAACACTATACCAGCCACAACCAGCACATTTAAAAAAAAAAAAAAGAAATAAAGCCCCCATATTCATCTACTGTCCACCTGTTCTGTGCATAGCAGAAACAGGTACAGTCTGCACCAGTAATGAGGTGTGGGCTAGAGTTATGGGGCAGAGCATGTGCTGTCCCATAACACTGGTGTAAGCTGATGTGGGTAGTGATGCAGAAAAATATTGCTTCTCTTGGGTTCATCTTGGGGCAGCACAAAGCCAGTAGTTTGGTGTGAAACTTGCAGCCTAATAACTCAGAGTTCCTCTGGCTGAAAATCCTCTGGCACAGTTGTTTTTTAAACTACTTTTAAACCTGTTTTTCCTGGGAAGTCTGTTTCCAGCAAGTCTGTCTGGAGCCAGTCAGTCCTTTTGTGTTATGAAAATTGCAGTTAAGAAAACCCCAGTTATGCTTTTCTGTTTGCAGTTGACTGCTGGGACTCAAGCTCCCCCCTGGAAGGGCAGTTTGCCTCCTTATAGGAGAGAGTTACTGAAAGCAGTTCCCTGTTTTCCATCTCAGTTTTCCTCTCTGTTCCTGACCTCCTTTCTGCTGCAGTTTTTCTCCCTGCCTGTGACCTGCCTGTGGTCAGCTGGGTTTTGTTTTTTTCTGAGCCAGGGAGGGCACTGCATGGGGATGGTTTGCATAACATCAGCCTGGGCGGGTTGCTGTGGGTGCCAGGGCAGGCAGCCTCCCCACGTGTTGCAGGCACACCTACCAGTCCGACAGCTCCCTGGTGATCAGCCACGTCGAGCCCGAGGACGCTGGCACCTACACGTGCCTCACTTCTGACGGGAGGACAGAGATTCAGCTGCAGATCACAGGTGAAATATCTTCTCCTCGGGACCGGAGAGGTAACTCAGGGCTCCTCATTAATGGTTACTGAGCACAGGCTCAATAAAGCCAGCTGTGGGAGGAAACTTCCTCTGCTGCCAAGAGGCAGTGTGGAGGCAGCAGGGCGTCTTTTGGTGTTACCTCATGATAAAGCCTTAGCCCTAAAATACTTTATCCCCTGCAGTGTCACCCCATAAATGGAGTTGTGGCTTGCCTGCAACCCACCCTGTTTCTATCACAGCAAGTATGTCTTTCTCCCTGAGAGCCATCAGCTGCCTCCTGATCCAAAACATAACTGCTGGTGCATTTTTATGTTTTGTGTTGTGCCCAAACAGATCCTGCTGGGTAACAAATAATTCCCTGTTCTGAAAAACGTGCCTTATTTCAGAAACATAACCAAAAAAAATGAAAGACAAGTCTCAAAAGATGGGCCAGAGAGGCACCCTGTAGCCTTCAATCTCTGAAGTGTGCTTTGTCACAGCAATGGCACATGGGGCAGAAGGCACTGTGGCCTAAGGGATGTTGCAACATGTTCACTGACAGAGGAGGAAAAGGAGTCTAAAATTGCTTGCCTGCAGGTCTATGACTCTCATTAGTAGAGAGCGCAGGTTTACTGCACTAGTCAGCCAAAAGCAGATGGCTGAAGGGCTCTTTGGCTCCAGTTCAGCAAGCTCTCCCAAGCTCACAGAAACCCTACGCAAGAGGTCACAGCAAGAAGTGTCCTTTTATTCACATATGGCATTTTGTTTTGAATAGAGCACCAGAGCGCTGTTCTGGCCGAGGGTGAGCGAGGCCGGGCCCGTCAGGAGGCCGATCAGCAGCGCCGAGGGTTACCCAGAGGCAGGCAGCCTGTGCAGGCAGCCGGCTCCTCCGTGCGCCAGCAGCTCGCGTACAGGTAGGTTCACCTACAGCAACAGTGCCCAGCTGATGAGCCATATGGCATCTCTTCATGTAGAAAAGCCAAAGACTGGAAAGGTCCCGGGTCAGCTGTTCCAGGGCACAGTTGGGAAGCATGCAGTACTGAACTGCTGACAACGGGAATGGGAGATGATCCCAGTCGCAAGCTGTCTTCTGTCCTCCCCAAGGATCTCTTGAAAGAAGCGTACTCTGAGCAAAGATGCACAGGGGAGCTGGGCTCAAACAAAAGAAGTCTTGAGGCAGCATCTTGAACTGTTCATGTCAGTGCAGGCAGAAAGAGAAACCTGTTCTGAGAAAAGCAAAGCAAATGGGAGCTGCTTAACTAGCACAAAATAGACATGTATATTGAAAAAAACTTCAGCTCCTTCATCCTCCACTAATTAATTTTAAATATTTTGTGAACAAACCAGTTTGACCCAAAACTGTCTCCTCATATACTGGCACTTTTTGTTGCTTCTTGTGTGGTTTTTTATGGCTTCTAGGCCCCACAGAAATAAAGGGGACAAATTATTTTTGCCTTAAATGAAGCATGTTGGGATTCCAGATTAAATAGGGCCATGATCTGATCTCTCTCTTTTTTTGAGTTTACAGCCTAAAACCCAGCCAATTTGCTGAACTCTGCAGCAATCTCCTTAGCTGCTTCTGCCTAAAAGCAGTAATAAGGGATTCATTGAATTAAGAACATTGAATTAAGGCTCTTTGGTTTTATTTTTTGAGATCAAGAATTCAGGTCAAAGAATGGGGGTAGGGTAGATGACGTTTTCTTTAACTGTGGGAACATCATGGTTTAGTTCCCTTCTAAGACAGTGTTTAGCTGTAGTTATAAGACAGCAAAGTACATGAGGAGATGAGTGTTGTGAGGACATGACCTCAACCTTTCTGCTGCACGAAGTGGACAACCAGCTCCTGGACCTTGTGCAGTAAGGTGATTGCAATAGGCTCTTCACACCCTAAAATGGCTCATTTTTGTGTGCTAGATAAGCACCCAAGGGGAAGCTTGCTCGGTGCCCTCTTTAGGACTTTGTACTGTTTGCCATGTGTTCACATTGTTAATGCTTCCTCAGCTGTTATCCAGAGGGTTGTTATAAGGGCTGCTGTCTGTAAAATAAGCTGCCTGACAGGAGTGCAGCACCAAGCTGTGCTGGACTAGAGCAGGATTTTATAGAGGCTGCTCTTTTCTGAATGTTGGGAGTGAATGTTGCTAATGGCAAGCATCAGAGCTCTCATGGGTGTACAGAGACCTCCCTTTACCATTGGAGGCAAAAAAAAAGGCCTGTGATTGATAAAGCCTCGTGCTGAAGGTCAAATGCTGAGCAAAGAAGTTTCTACACCTTTTGCTGTGCTTGTGAACTTTGCAGGTTGAAAATGGATAAGAGTGAGCCCACAGTAGTGGAGGCCAATGTTGGGGAGAGAGTCAGACTGCCCTGCACAGTGGAAGCTTCACCAGCTCTCACCATTGAGTGGCAGAAGGATGGGCAGCCCCTCTCCTCTCCCAGGTGAGCTCCCAGGTGGCTCCAACCGTTCATGAAGAGAGCCTCCTCCTTGCTTTTCCTTCCCTGCCTCCTCTCTGAGAGAACAGAGCTGTTGGCCATGCAGCAAGGCTCTGGCTTTATGCTGTCCAGCTTCCTCCATCAGGGCCAGGCCATACTGCTGGCCTGCCCTGTCTTCCCTCCCTCCCTCCCTCCCTCCCTCCCTCATGGAAATTTTGAACATTGAACCCTTGAGGGAACAGCTGTGACACAGGGTCTACAAGTGAAATAGGGCTCAAATTTATTATTTTCTGCTACAAGGTTAGCAGAAAAAGAACACATGGCTAGCAAATTTGCCAAAAACCATCTGGTCAGTGAGCAAGGGCAGAGGTTCACAGCAGGGAGAGATCACGGCATCTGCAGTGAACTTCCACAGCTACCGGTGCTGCTCTCCCCTCTCTCTGTTCCCAGAAATCTGCTCTAGCAGCAAGTTTTCCCAGAGTCTTATAGCATCAGTGCTGGGATTTGAGGACTAAGGGTTGCATTACAACCCCTGCAGCATTTAAACCTTTGCTCAGTGGTACTACAAGGTTGTGCACAAGGCTTAGCTTCGTCTCTGCTGGCTCTCAGGAGTCCCACGCTGACCCAAGCACAGGCTGAGGGACATGCTGGCTTTGTTCCCCAGGCACAGGCAGCAGTCGGACGGGGCCCTGGTGATCAGCCGGGTCAGCTCTGAAGACATTGGCTTCTTCACCTGCATTGCCTCCAATGGACGTGACCGTGACCAGCGCCACGTCCTGCTCCGGCCTCTAGGTACTGGGGGTGGCAGCACACCCGGCCCGTGTGCACAGGAGTGGGAAACAGGGAAGGCTGTGCAGGGCCAGCGTGGCTTCCATTGCTGGCCGTGCCTCTTTGCTTCACGCCTAGAGTTTAACAGGCATCCTGAGGGCAAGGGAAGAATGAGTTGTTTTACCCAGTGGTCATCTGCATGTGCCCTGTATATCATGGTGTTCCAAGCAGCTGGGAAAAGGGGATTGACAGCACAGTAAGAGTGACTCTCAGGGCCTTGTTTCTGGGACACTGGTGTGGGGTGAGTATAAGAGCAAGAGAAACCAAGGAGATGGTTCTTCTGTGCATGTGATATGCATGTGTCCAGCTGGAGGAAAAGGTTCTTTGAGATGTCTGTTACTTGTCCTTTCTTGGGCCAAAGTCCTAGGAAATCCACGTTCCCCAGAGCAGCAATGGCACAGCCTCAAACATGCTGTTTCAAGGCCCAGGGGCTTGTAGCTTATTATGGGATGTGTTGGACTTTTCCCACGAGGGAATGCTCCTACTCCCAGGGGAAGAGTGGCATTGTCTCCCTGCTAGTGATGATTTCTCTTCCGGCCCAGGAGAGCTGAGGATCACTGGTCTTCTACCAAGCATCACGGTACCTGAGGGAGGGACTGCTCAGCTTCATTGTACAGTGACTGGCAACAATGTGAATATAAGGTGGTCAAGGTGAGCAAAAATGAGATGGAAGATCCCTTTCCTTCTCTTCCCAAACCTCATAATTTACCCTCCAAATATTAGTGCAGGGTGCCTGCCAGGTATGGCAGAGACCACAGTTATCAGCCCCAACCAGTATCACCTACCCTTTCTTAAAACAACTTGGATGTTACCCAAAAATCCTGGGCAAGATCCCTGGAGGGGTGTGTGGGTCATCAAGTTCATGTTCCAACCAAACAAGGAGAAAATCAGACATTAAACTAAGATTTCATGGAGTTCAGAAGGGCTGTGCTGGAAAACTAGTGACAGAAAAATAACATTAATGAAAATGAGTAATCAGAGGAAAAGCTTTAGTTGCTTTTAAAAAAAAAAAACCTTCTCTAATTGTGACAGACATTTTAGGCACTCTTTTCCCAGCTTCCTGTTGCAACAGTTCTCTCCATTTACTGTCAATGGGAGCAAAGGAGATTTAGAAGCATTTTAAAGTGAAAAGCTGTGTCCTCTTATCCTGATAGTTTACCAGGAAACTCTGAATTTGTGCAAGTGTTTAGTGAGGGTTGTTTTTCCTGTTTGAAAATAATCAGTTCTGCTTTGGAGCCTTCTTACAAACTATCCAGAGAGATGGATGAAATTGCAAGGGTTAGGACTGAAATGGGCCATCTCACACACAGTGCTTTTCTTCTATAAGTAAATTTGGTATTTGACCTAACAAAATGATGCATGTTTCAGAGCTGGAATGAAACCCTTTTCAGTGAAACAAATTTCTTTCATTGGTAACCAGGAGTTCACAATTCAGGCAGTTTTCCTGTTGGGCACAGATTATTCCAGGAGGAACTGAACAGACACAACCTTGCTGGTTTTTTTAACCAAACTTTCAAAGGGAGAGGAAAGAGGGCACATTGTTCACTACCCTGTATGCTCATCAAGCAATATGCGCTGCTATCAAAGCCAGCCAAACAAGTACTGCCAGACCACAACCTGGAGAGAGGGAAAGGCACACTGGATTTTCTCTTAGTTCCTCAAACCTCAAGAATGTGTGCTAGCAGAAAGGGCAATGTCTTTGCACAGAGCACACAGACTCAGCTACCTCCCACGCAGACACTGGGCAACGGATGCAGACTCACTCAGGCTCATGTTACCACCCAGCTGCAGGGCCAGCTTGTGCAAAAGATTTCTTCCTTCCTGCTGAACTTGTAAAATTCACCCCTTTCACAGAACGTCATTTTCCAAAGAGCACAGGGAGCTCTTTTAGCACCCATAGGTGGCAATAGTGAAATATTTTGTTTTTTACCACAGGAACGGAGTTCCCATGCGGGGGGATGGCCACCACATCCACCTATCCCAGGATGGAAGCCTGACTATCTGGAATGTCCAAGAGGCTGATGAGGGATCCTACACATGCAGTGCCTACAGCAGCAGCAGCTCTGTCAGTGCCAGCTCGGAGGTGAAGGTGCTGAGGAGCCGGCCTAGCAGTGAGTACTGCCCAGCCTTCCTGCTTCTCCCAGCCTTCCTGCTTCTCCCAGCACACTGCCCGGCCCCTGGCCACTATCGCACCCATTGTGTGTGCCAGTCCAGCACCAGCCTTGGGCTTTGGGGACCAGCAGGAGCCTCTGGGTTGTGCTGCCTCAGGAGCCCTGCTTTCCATGGGCATAAAAGCAGGATGCTGGAAACACCCCCTAACTAGGGCACTGGGAACTTAATTAATTTCCTGAGGCCAAAACGCCATAGTTGCTTGACCAAATAGTTGGTTGCATGATTTGTAGTTGGACTTTTGACACCATCCAGCTATCTTTACATAGAGGGTAGGTAGAATAGTCTCTCCCTGGAAACTGCATTTTCCTCCTGTATTTCACCAGAGATGTCTGTTTCATCTTGAAACTCATCGTCTCCTTCTTGATGTTGGACTAAATTTAGAACTGGTGGTGTGGAGGAAGAGGGAAAGTGCTGTCTTTTGGGATGGAATAGCAATCTGAGGATAAATTTACAGCTGGTTCACCCTTTGCTTGGCTGCAGCTACTGTGAGTCACATTGTGGACCCGAGCAGAGAGTGCGTGGACCAGCCCCACCTGGCCAACTGTGACCTGATCCTGCAGGCCCAGCTCTGTGGTAACGAGTACTATTCCAGCTTCTGCTGCGCCAGCTGCGCTCGCCACCGCCCCCAGGGCAGCCCCCCGCACCCCCGCGGGTGACAGCCACCGCCACGGTGACCGATGACAGGACTGGAGTCTCAACTCTGTTCTTTTACTGCATGGGACAGTTCCAGGAACTCTGCCCTGCTGGAAAGCCCAAGAGGGTGAATTGGACAGCGTGTAGTGAGTGTAAATGCTCAGAGGTGGGAGACCCACCACCCTCAGGTTTATTGTAGACTCCTTTTCCCCTGTATGCCTTGTTGTACCTAATCCATCTCTTAAGAGTAGTTGCTGTCATTCACAGGAACCAGATAATAGTAGGGATGTAAGGATGATGTGACTAGAGGAGGCAAATGACCAGCATGAAAGAGGGAGAAACCAATTCTTCATACAAGCAAGAGAGAAGTGCTCTTAAAAATAATATAATCTCTGAAGTGTTTGAAGATGGGCCTGAACCATTTCAACTGAAGCACTAATGAGCCATGAACATTTGTTCCTCCAATGAGCATTGCTGAACAAGTGCTCCTGGGGTGCACTTTCCATCTAAATGCAAAGGACTCTGGCCACCAGAAACTGCTTGATGCATACAAAATTAGTGTTCAGGTCCTAGGAGATTACTGGCTCTCAGGATGCAGCTGTAATGGAAGTTCTGTTTTATACTGTAGCTGTTTTATTCCAGCAGTCTTTAGACAAATTTCTGGTAGGATCAGTTTGGTTTCTACTTGGCTGCAATCAGCTTTGGAGTAAAATTAAGAAGAAAGGCTTCACAGAAAACTTAATACAAAATAGAAAACTGCTTTTAGCCCTTCCTGAACACTAGGGGTAATTCAGATGAACACACCAACACCGTTACCTGTCCTGAGCTGCTGCAGTTTGAATAGCACTCATTCTAGGAAGGCTCAGCAGGTAATCTTTTTCCCCTGAGCCGGAACTGTGCTGTTCTGACGTTGTGCTGAGTTTGGGCAGGGGCTAATAATAAACACATAGAAATATGTGTGTAGGGGCATTTCACTTGCCAGAACAAACCTCCCAAGGATCTGCTCTAGTCTCAGTTAAATCCAGGAAAGCCTGGCTCTGCTGATCTGGCTGATGCCTGCTGCTACACGCTAACAAGTTAGGACTTCCAGATGCAGAGCAGCTGTAGCTGAAAAGCATCCTTCATTTCAAGATCAAAATGGAGTGTCAACAAGTGTGCATCTGGGGCTCTGAAAATCTCAGGCATTAGGGGTGGGGAGGTGAGATTATATTATGATTATATCATGATTATATCATGTTAAACCAGGAAAGGCCTTGGGTGTCTTCAGTATCTCAAAATGGAATTACTTTTGAGCAAAAGGATTCTTTTACAGCCTCCACACTACTGTTCCACCCTAGCATCAGCCCTGACAGTCCCCTTCTTCCTCATTCTAGACTTGGATGGGTTGATCATAATTATTAGCAACATTACCTGTGTATTATTTGCATAGATGTAGGTAAACGGGTGTGTAGATGTTGGCATTTTGGTTGGGGGGATGGAGGATTGGGTTTTTTTACTTTTGTCTTCTGCTTGTGTTACTTTAAGGCTTTTAAGAAATGCAGTTAAATCAGCACAGGTGTGGTTCAGGACTGAACAGGCTGCTCTAGGATGTGAACAAACGGCGAAGTCCACAAGCAATGCGATACAGGAGAGACAGGTGACAGTCACAGCTATTTGGGGCTGGGTCCTTCTGTGGTCTGATAAGTTCTGTTTGCTAGGAGAGACAAAAATACTTATTTTGCATTTAAGACCCTTTAATTTGATTAGGGAAAAAATTGCTGGAATGCAGGGCAGGCACTACAGTATAAGGTTTGAAATAATTGGATATTTAAGAACAATGAGGTGGTCCTGAAAACATCCACTTGTGTTTGTACATGTTTTTCCATTTAATATCTCAGACCACCACCTTTTTCTTTGTGTGCCTGTATAGGATATTTTACCATTTTAGTACATGATACGATTTTTGCCTTTGGAGACCAGGGACTAATCAGAGACTCTGTAAATTCCAGTCATTTTGAAGCCCTCTCTGTTCCACGTGTGGCGTCAAGGGGTAGTCAGGCTCTGCTCAGGAGCATGGTTGGAAGTGGATTGTGGATGTGTCAGACCTTTTTGTCCCAGAGTAAGTAGCCAGTTCTATAAAATCCCTTTCTAAGATGTCAGAGGCTTTATTTTTAGAATATTTAAATATTCTGTGTAGTCAGATGTCATTTAAACTCAGTGGCTATGTAAGATGGGGCCAGGAAGTGCTTTCTCCAGGCTCCTGAGGGCTGTAACAGCCCCGTGCCTGCTGGTGGGCAGGACTTTAACACTGGAAGTGCGTTGGCTAGTGGAGAGTTTACGCTGACCTCCTTTCAGCTGCACAACCATGGCAGTAAGGGTGGGAGCGACAGGCAGGCAGCTCCCTGCTGTAAATCCATGCCATCAGGTTAACTAAAGGATCTTTGCATTTCTTCTGACAAGATCAGCTTCTCCCTCTCTGTAGTACCACATAATCACCCACTCAAGGTTTACTTTTTTTATGTGAGAATCAAGATGTTCGTTTTCTTCCCTAAACAATGGGTTGTAGGAAGTGCTTATCTCCAGGGCAGGAGAAGGGTGTAGCTATACTGGGCTATTTTCAGCTTCATCTTGGGGCCCTTACTGTGAAAGATACATAACTAACTGCTTTCTTTCCTACTATAAATGTTTATAAATACTTGTTTGCTTTTTGCAAGCTGAAAAAAGCATTGACACCAACTCAAATCCCACAGGGAGTGTTTGCATTACTATTCATACCATACTGAACACAGGTAAGAATCTGTAATGTCACAAGTTGTAGTTTTCTAGACTGTCACTGCAAGACTCGCTGTACTTGTCTGAAAATGGAAACTGTTGGCAAGCTCAAATCTGAGGGCCAACAAAGGGAGTGTTTCTTCTCCTTCAGGTTACGGAGTCTGACTTCTTCTCTTTGTGTCCAAACTGACGTGGTGCCCGTAAGAATGTGGTAAGAACCAGTCACACTAACAGGGCAGATATCCACTCACTGGAAGAACAGAAAAGAGGTGAACATACATCATCATCTCATATGGCCCTTTCTAACAGCAGGGGAAAGAAAGAGATTTCCTTTTTGCCATTACCGAATGTTACTGAATTGTCTCTTTGCAAATATTCCGTGATAGAAAATACAGCCCTGCAAACCCACAATCTGATGTTTTCAGTAAAGGCCTCTATTTTAGAGCTTGAAGTGTTTATGCATCACAAGGATATTTGAAATTCAGTGTTGAAGTTCAGTGCAACCTAACAGGTTGTAGAAAATGAGACGTGTTAAGATATTATTCTTAAGCTGCTAGGTCAGCAAGCAGTGCTCATCCACATCCACCTTACAAGACAGAAGATACCCAGAAGGGCAAATGCTGAAACTGAGTTAGGGTGGGAAATAAGTCTCTCACAGACAGTGCTTCTACCACCAACATTTATTTCTGTTAAAGCAGATTATAAATCATCAGTACAAATATATATAACTTACATTTGCTTGTAAGGCCAAAGTTTAAAAGTAAAGTTAAAATGAGATGGTTTTCACAAGTCACCAGAGGCAGAACCTGGACCAGCTGCAGCCTTAACCACAAGGTTTCACAAATCAGTGGGAAAAAATAAAACCAAAGTTAAAAACCTCTAAGAACTACTGACAGACAAACATAAAATGGTTTCCCAGGCAGCCCCAGGATGTAGATATGATGACAGTAAGTTGTCACAGTAGTGTTAGAACCAATAGATTAAGACAAAGAAACTGCAGCAATATATGAAAGGAAAAAAATCCATACTATATAGAATATGTAGACTGATTCCAATAAAAAACAGTAAGTTCTCCCCATGGTTTTCAAACCATGACAATACTGTTCTTTAATTTTCTTTATTTAAAACTACGATATAATGACTTATTGGTTGTGATTGTTGTTGCAATATGCTACTTACAATGAACAGATACAAGAACAAGCTAGAGCCCCTTTTTCCACCCCCCCAATATTACTTACTATAAGAATCAGCGATAAATCAATCTTATGTACAATTTCTTACATCCAACCCCCTTGTTTTTTAACCTTTGGCAAGATTACTTACAACTCATACAGCTTTTAATATCCAACTATTTAAAATATTCTAAATGCATAAAAATAAAGATTTTGGCTTTACTTTATTCTTTACATATAATATTCACTTTGTTACTCAAAATGGAAGCTCAACTTTTTCCACGAACCTAGCTTTTGCTAAGGTGACAACATCCCACCCATATCCACCCCCCACCCTACCCAATTTCTCCCTGAGGGGGAACACCCAGGGCTTGCAGGGCATCAGGAGGACACAGGTACAAACATCTGCCTTCCTTTCCGTGAGATGATTGATGTTTCTGCAGAACAGGCTTTGGGACTGGGTGCCTTTCTTCGCTCCATTTGACTTCCAGCTTTCCAAGAGAGGAGGGGAACGCAGACTGGGGTGGCTCCAGGATTCCTTTTAAGAACTGCACATTAAATTCTCTGTGTGTTTCCATCCTCCCCATAACTGCTCCCTCTTTCTAACCCATTTTTGTTTCAAGGGACCGTCGGGATTATCAAAGCAAACCGATGGGACGCAGTCCCCTCTGCTCCCTTTATCCCTCTAGCCTAATGTACAATTTATCCGCCCCCACGGGACCGCTCAGAGTTCGATCTCGAATGTCTTCTGTAGGTCGCTGGAGAAGGGGTTGGTGGGGGAGGGGTTGGTGCGCTGCTTTGCCTTGCCCTCCAGAGCCGCCCACTGCGCCTCAAAGGGGTCGACCTGCGGGGCGGGCGCGGGGGGCTGCGGATGCTTGTCCTCGGCAGCCCACTTGCCCCCCTCCACGCCGTTGAAGGCGGCGGAGCCGTTGTGCTGCGCGGGCGGGTGGAAGAAGGGGCTGGCAGTGGCGCTGCTGCTGTCGTACTGAGGGACCGACTGCTGCTTCACCAGGCTGGGGGACTGGTGCGGGTGGGCCGCTGGAGTGTGGCTGGCAGTACCAAAGACGTTGGCCACCATCTGGGAAGGTGTGATCCCAACCACAGGGACACTTGGGGCTGCATAGGTCATCCCATTTGCTACAGCGTAGGGCTGAGCTGGAATAAATGCTGGCTGCATGGGCGGTACCACGCCCACCGGCACAGGCTGAGGCGCAATGAAGGTGCTGACTGGGAAGGCTGGTGCTGACTGGGAGGCTGGAGCTGCTGGAGGAGGCTGGAGCAGTGGCTGCGGGGCTGGGGCTGAGGTTGGCTGCTGTTGGGCTCTGACAGTCTTTGAGACTTCTTCCAACCAGCGGTCTGCCTCTGAGGGAGTACGTCTGTGATTTCCTTGGAAGAGACTCGGTGAGGCCGCACCTGAGGAGGTGCTGCTCCATTCGGTGCCTGGGAAGGAAAGCATGGGCAAGTCACTAATATTTCCACTCCTCCCACTCCTCATCCTTTTATTGGTTAGAAAGACTGGAGGGTATACACAAGAACACACAGGCCTCCTCCTGACATGACTGAAAGATGCTCCCACCATTGGAAGCATCTTTATTCATCCACTGTACTGGTCTGTTCTAGGAAGACATTCGTCAAGATGAGGCAGGTAAGCGCTTCTTCACTTAAGTGCAGTTTTAGGGTTTTTTTTTTCTTCATAGCAGACATCTCAGACTTTAGGGGATGCAGGAAAGCTGCTGCCTGCACTCATAACTTGGTGGCAATGATCTAGTCCATAATCACTAATCCCCCTAACTGGGAAGTATCAGTTTCTGAATGCACAGCTCAGGACTGGTAGACTTGGAACACAAAGGTCTAAGAAACTGTTTTACAGACAAAGTCTGGTGCTCTTACAAGGCCAAGCAGAACCTACTATTTCACTAGTGAAGTTTCTAGTTTCTCTCGTGGAGTGGCGCTTACACCATGACATGAAGTAACTCAGACTGCAGCCTTCTAGCACGTGCCCACATGGGTGACCACTTCACCTTACACAGTGCAGACAAGGCCTGGAGCGACAGACCAAACTTACTAAACAGAAGAAATTAACCTCTAAGCCATTAAGCAACCAACTTAATCCCTCCTTATGTACATTAGTGAAAAGAACACAAAAATTATTTTGGGTACACACAGATTCTTTTCCTTTTATACACACAAGCTTGCATACAACTTCATTACTTCCTTTTCAAGCACTGATTTTATAAAATGCTGCCAAAGTAAGAATCAGTCCAGGTTACAGACCTAGCACCAGCAAGTTCATCGCTTCCCTCCATCCACTCGTGCAAAACGCTACTACTTCCAGCTTTTGTTCCTGTTCCTTCCACTAGCCATTAAAGTGGCACTGACAATTGTCTCAGGGGCTCAATTATGCTTTTGATCCAAGTTCTTATAGCAATGCACCGGATCTACTTCCAGTCTTACCAGCGACCACGGCTGCAGCTCCAGTATTAGCAGCAGGAGCATGAGCCCAAGGATTGGTTTCACGAACTGGCATAGCTGTGGACACTACAGCAGCTTGGGATGGTTTAGCAGCAAGCACACAGAAGGCAGAGGCAGTGCCATTAACTAAAATGGGAGCAGACAACATCAGTGCGATTAATTCATGCAAGGCATGCACGTGACTGGAGTATTAGTGGGCCGGGTCATACCTATCCACATACAACACTTCTAGACACTTCCACATGACAGGAGTTTGTGAATTAGCCAAACTGGACTGACAGTCAATACAGGAAGTAAATTTCATTTCACCAAGCCAACACTTGTTAAGAGAATCATGGGATGGTGGATTTTGATGTCCATTAGGAGGCCTTGAGTTCGGATGACTGACTGAAGTTAAATTTGTTGTTTCTATAAGGAAGAGATATGGCTCACCAGTAGTTATTGTACAGTTAATTCTAGATTAAAAAGAAGAACGCTTTGTAGATACAAAGTAACAATAACTACATTTAACATGAAGAGGTTCTTTTTTCACACAACTTCTATAAAAGCATAGCAGTGAAATGAATACCAATGGCTGCTATGAGTTCAATAGTTGGCCTTTTTGCCACACCTTATCTAAGAATTTGTATAAAAAAAAGTAATTGCGGTGGCACAAAATCCCTTCCCTTGCAAGATTTGGTTCCTATGACACACTCCTATGCAGTTCAGGAGGCAGAATGATAAAATAACCATTACCTCAAAGCCAGTTCCTTTTAGAGGTAACTATCGTGTGGTAGGTGCATGAACTTATTGTTAAAAACAAAACCACAGAAAAATTAAACAGACAAGATGAATAAAGCAGGATGCATTCACCCAAAATACTGGTAACAGGACTTGCACAAGTAATTAAGATAATGTGTTACTAGAAAGCAACATTATGTGCATTCAAGCCTCATCCAGCACCCAAAGAAATCACAAACCTTGAAAGGCAGGAGACTGTGGTGCAACTACTGTCACTGGTTTTGTCATGGGGGCCGAAGAGAAAGGATCTTCTGATGGTGTGCTGAAAGCACTGGTGATCTGAGAGCACAGGGCACTAATGCTGTCTGTTTCCCCTTCTACCTCTGGGACTAAAATGTAAACAGAATTAATTAAATTGAAAGTTTAAAGGATACAGAAACAATTTACAACTACCAATGTGAAACTGAAATATAATTAGTTCCCTTATGTCCTACATGTTCTTGCTACCGATTTGCGTGACAGCTTTTTTTTTTTTTTTACATTAGTGTTGAAGATCTGGCCTGAAACA